TATATAATGTATATTATATATATATATGTATATAAATATAAATTATAAAATTTCGAGATTTTTTTTTTAATTAAAAAAATTATTATTATTATTATAAAGTTTTTTTCTTCTTTACGAAATTTTTAAACTCGGTTGGTTTTTTTGAAAATAATTATTAAATGTGTAAAATTAATAAATGATGCAAGTGCCAATATAAAAATGCAAATTAAAATTGATGATTTTTACAAATGCGGAAAAAATAAAAATGGGGTAATTTAAAATTATATATAAAAGAAAAGAGGAAAAACGGAAAGAAACGATGCGTGGAATGTTTGTGATTGTGATTTACAATGCGTCGTCTTTTTTGCGCGTCAATTGTGTGTGTTATAAAAAAAAAAAAAATAATTATGCTAAAATAAGTATTAATTAATGGTCCTAATAAAAAAATTCGGGGGACTCGCCGAATTTTTTTGATAATAAAAGGGAGCAAGTCAATTTTTTTTTCCTGTTGATTGCTTCTCCCCTTCCATTCAACAATCGATGTTAACGTTAAATTATTATTCGAATATAATATATAAAAAAAAATAAAGTTCATTAAAAATGCATGGTAAATGAAATTGCTTATGAATTTTTACAAAATGTGCGTGAAAAATATTTCATGTTAAAAAATCTACAAAAATAAAAAAGGTGACGTAGAATAAAAAAAGGGATTAAAATTAGCGAATATGTAAAAATTCAAATGCAATAAAAAATTTACATGCATAACGAGTTTAAGAAGTGTTTTATTTAACTTAAGAGTTTACCTTAATTTTCTTGTTTAAGCATAATTGTTTTTTTTTTTAAAAAAAGAAATAAATAGGAAAAAGAATGTAAATGCAAAATTGCAAATGCGAATTAAAAAAAAAAAATGAAAGTAACTTTCGAAATTTTTGTTGTTTGTGTTTGTGTTTGTGATTCGATAAAAAAAAATATTAACAATAAAAAACGAAAAAAATATATACGAAGAAAATAAATTAAAAAAAATTTTTAAAACGAAAAATTGATATATCGAATAATATCTGTGAAAGTAAAAGATTAAATTAGCTAAATATTTGAAATAAATAAATATATATATACATATATATCAATTTTTTTTTTTTTGCCTACCAAAATTAAAAAAAAGTTTTTTTTTTTTTTTTTTTTGTTTTTGTTTTTTTTAAAGGGAATCATATTTCACGAATTGATTACGAATGAATTGTTGTTGTTCATCGGGTGAAATGAAGGAAAGAGCTGCCATACTATCATAATGATCATAAGCATCTAAATCACCAAAGTCAAGGTAATTCATTCCATCATTTGACCCAGCTTGAGATGCATCAAATACGTTAAAATCAATCATGCCACCATTTGTCGTCATAGGAGTGTTAACAAAAGTTGTGTTTGTTGATGATATTGGACTACCGTCATACGAATTCTGAGAAACTGAATCATCAAGGTAAGAGAAATCGTATTTTGCCATTGCGGCGTCCATATAATTAATTTGTGATGGAGAATTTGTTAAAGAATTCTCTGCAAACAACAATTGTTGATGTTGAGGATGATGTTGAAGGTGATTGTTATGGGGGTTCACTATGGTGGTGGATGAATTATAAATTTCGGAATTTTCACCATCAGTAGACATACGTCTTGGATAAAATGCTGTAGATTCAAGCATAGGTAAATTTGTTGAACTAATATTAGGTGAGTTACTGGTTACTGATGGTGAATCTTCACGAGGTTGAATCCTACGCTTCCTTTCTTGTGGTCTTCTTGGACGATACCTATATTCAGGGTATTTTTTCATATGTTCTTGCTTAGCTGCGTCTGCCATTTTTTGAAATTTCATTCGAATTTCAGCTGGTTCTTCATGCCACATTCTACCAATCTCTTTTGAAACTTCATTATTAGTAATTCCTTGATGTCTGGCTACGATACCAGGTTGTTTAGCTCTACGATATAAGATGAAAGCATTTGGTGGTCTTGGTGGTTTCTTGATCTTTGTTTTAGCATTTGATGATGCAGCCTTTGGTGGAGGACCGGCTACACCACATGGAAGTGCGAATGAGGGGAGACGTACATCAGTATCAGGTAACATTCTAGGAACATTAGGAGCTGCTGATACAGGTTTCGCATTCTCCAATAAATTCGTTACAGTTTGAGCTTTAGCATCGTTAGGAACTAAAACAGGTTCGAAACCCTCAGGGATAAAATACAAGGTACCCTTATTTTGTTCATATAAATCTTGAACCCGATCATATGAAACATATTCAAAATTTGGAACTGAGTTACCACCTTTTGTAATTTTTACTTGTGGTTGTTGTGGCATTTGAGGTATGAAAGTATCTTGATCACCATTAGCCGCAGTAGCGGGAACATTATTTTGCGGAGTTGTATTGTTACTTGTAGAAATATTTTCGTTGTTTTTTACAACCATATCTTTAAGACTGTTGTTAGCTTGTAAGTTTTGAGCAATAGAGGATGTTTGTAACTGCATTTTTACAGCAGAATATTCTGTCATAATACAACGAAAAACCTTAAAAGAAGAAGAAGACGACAAGAACTTTTCAAGTTGTCAATAAATACTTTTTGACACCAGGACGGAAAATGGTGTTAGGGACTTTAAATTTTTTTTTTTATATAAGGGTATATATAAAAAAAAATTAAAAAAAAAAAAAAAATATTTTTTTTTTTTTTTTTTTTT